ATTGAAAAAGTAGATCCACAGTTCGTACAGTCTTCAGTTAAGTACCTCTGAAAAGAAAGCACAGTTAGTTTACAGTGAGGAGAAGTGCAGCTTTGAATTCAATCTACACACTTTGGTAACTGCTCCACACAGGAAGTCATCCCTTTCTTCAACTGTGTGTCCATCAAACACTCGATATAAATCATCAAAACGACATAAAGACACGGCTTAAATACATTTAGTTTAAATATCTTAGAATATTTTACCCCCTTCTTTCAGCCACGATGAAGATATGCAGTGATGAGTTGGTTTCTCTACATTAAAACTGGAATATTGCTGTTTTCTTGACGGTGGTTAACATGTCAGGGAATGTAAAATAAATAAATATTTTACATTAGAAAGTTCACATTAAAATCACATGTTTCACTGAAACACTACAGTTGGCTGAGTCTAGTGCAATGTGTCTCAGTAGGAATAAGTTAGGATTTATCTGCACAACATCTGAAACACCTCAAAATGATAAGAATAATAATAATAATGAATAATAAACGGAATGTATTTAAAAAAAGAGAACCAGGTTTATGATCTTAAGACTTGATGCAGGGAGTGGAAACTGTTCTCAAAGTAGGTTTTTTTTTTTTTTATGAAGCTCGGTTATGAAGCTCTGCGGAGATTATGTAGCGTTCTAACATTGGGAGAATCTTCTCGCTGAGATGAAGCAGGAGAGCTGATCTGGGACCAGCCGCCTTGGTTCCAGTCACGCGCTCAGAAGCTGTTGTTGTTGTGCTCCAGCCGAGCCACCATGGTGCTGACCAGCGTCTCCAGCTGCTTGGCCCTCTTCTGGCCCGTCTCCAGCACCTCTTCGTGGTTGGCCTTCTCCTGGCTGTCGTAATCCATCACCGACCGGTTACTGATCAGCGACAGGGCGAAGCAGCGCATCCCGGCGTGGCGGGCGACGATGACCTCGTGAACGGTGCTCATCCCTGCAGAGAGAGAGGGTGAGACGACAGAGATTTCAGTATATGACCATTGCTGGTGTTTTAGGACTTTATAGGAATCAAGCACCCACGCAGAGGCGGGGGTGGGTCATCGTCCACTTGCTTTTTGAAAGGCTCGCCCTGTGACTCACTTCCTTCTGTGTGTATGTGAGCTTGTATAATTACCTCATGACCTATAAACGTATTGAATGAGGATGATTTTGGAGACTGATCATCATTTGCTTAAGGGTTCAGGTTTAGTTCAAGGGAAAAGATCTGAGTCAAGAGGCCTGGGAGTGATCGGCGTCCCTGACCGCTCATCTGTGTTTGTCTCAAGCGATTTAACGACTCACCCACAGCGTCGGCGCCCAGACTGTGCAGCATGCGGCACTCGGCGATGGTCTCGAAGGACGGGCCTCCGAGGACGCAGTACACTCCCTCCTTCAATATGTCTTCGAAGCCCAGCTCCGCCGCCACGTCGCGCGCCAACTGTCGCAGCTCCCGGTCGTAGGCGTCAGACATGCAGGGGAAACGAACGCCAAACCTGAGGGTGGGGGGGGGGGGGGGGGGGAAGAAGAAGATGGTGAATCAAGCTCAGTCAAAGGTCAGAATCTACACAGCAGTGAGACGGAAATTTTCCCAGATGACACAAGCAGGGTGAAAACACAAAGTTTCACAACAGATGACCTCACAAACATGAGGAGATGTGTCACGTCAGGCTGCTCCTGAAGTTCACGGTCGGTTTGTCTTTAGAAATGAAACAGTCTCGTTCTGATTCTTGTTCTTGTTTCAAAGTGTCTCTAAACCGCCGCCTCTGTGAACAACAGACACCGTTGTTGACACCAGCATCGGATGTGTCCGGGCCACGGAGTTGCAGTTCAGTGTAGGAGCCTGCAAAAATGCAGGGGGGGTGGGGGGTGGGGGATGGGGTGGTACAGCTGAGTGAAGCAACGGTTTGCTTGAAATTGTAAGAAAAATAAAACTTGGTTCTATCTCCAGAGGGGGGGGGATTCAAATGAAGACAGCTCTTTTTCTTCCTGAGCGGATGAAACCTTCAGGCAGAATTTATAAAACGTTTGAAAATCCTGTTTTCTTTATCGTGCTGAAAGACTGAGGAGCCTCTGTTTCACTTCACGATGGTCTTCTGCCGTCGAGCTTTTCCGCGGTGGCAAAATCCAAATTACACAGCGAATACTTATTTCTCCGATCATTCATTCCATCCAATCATTCTGTCAAACATCAGCTTCAAAGATAAACAGCTGCAACGATACGTGCCGTCATGAAACACGCCTCCCTGCGTTTACCCCTCCACCCACCTGTCATCGTTGGGTCCGGTCAGAGGGTTGACTCCGGCGAAACCCGGCATGTTGATGTGGTCCTTGAGGATCATGACGTCTCCCACCTTGTAGTCCTGGTTGAGGCCTCCGGCTGCGTTGGTCATGATCATCGTCTCCACGCCCATCAGCTTGAAGACGCGCATGGGCAGAGTGATCTGGAGAGCGGCAGGTAAGATATCGATACCTCACATCTCAAACGTGATCGATTCCCATGATCATGAACATCACTATGTATTTAAACGCTGAAAGTCTTGCAGTTCAAACACACCAACGCTCTGAGGTGGAGACTAGATTAGGACACGGTAGAATTACGAAGCATCTCTGGAGGGAACATTCCTGTTTTTTAATCGAGCCTCAAGCTGAGAATATAAACCGTCCACTGGCGCAAGAGCAATCGAGGCAGGAAGATAATTTCCATATTTGCAGCCTCAGGTTGTTTTCAAATTTTTTTGAGCGGACAAGAATGAACAAGTGGATTCTGACTGAAGGAGTTGGAACACGCTGATATCTCAAAGCCTGATAACTGAGTCCAGACACCAGCTCACACAAACAACCTCTCACTTGCTTCTCGTCGTGCAGATCGTTTTTTATTATTATTCCAGGTTTTACAGGAAGTTTGTGTTTTATTTTGTGAGCACGATCGTTTTTAAACTTGAAAGACAAACGTGTGAGATTTTGAAAAGTTAGTTTTAGATGTTTTCCGCAGCAGGAACAGTTACTTTATCTTCATTGTACCAGTTTTCTCAAGGTCAGTGTCTCAAAACCTTAGATTTATACCATTATGATGAAAGGGGGAATATTTATATTGTTAATAATTATGATATAAAGGGAACTGAGGATTTTAAATATCCTGCTGCAGAGTTAAACCGCTTTCTGACATACAAGCAGTGAAGTCTGCACATCTTCCAGAGACGCTCTACGTGAGGACGCAAATGTCCCGAGTCAGTTGCGTGAAACGCTTTCCGTATCTTTTCCTGCCGGTCCCCCGGTAACACCAGATTTGGAGTTTATGGACCGGTGCAGATTTTAAACTCACCTTCTGGATGGGGTAGCCCTCGTACAGGTGGAATCTACCCTGCATGCAAACACACGGTTTCCCTTTCAGAGTCCCAAACACCAGCTGTCCAGCATGACCATGCACTGCAACACACACACACACACACACACTGTTAAGACAACAGGAACACACACACAGATTAACAGCTGTGTTTACCCAGACAGCTTCAGGGTGTGTGTACCTGTGCTCCGTGGGAAATTGGGAATGTCGCTGTACTTGAAGACCTGCGGGTCCTTGAGCATCTCGGCCAGCCCCCCCAGACCTGAGCCGCACACGATTCCCACAGTCGGCCGCACTTGTGTTTTGGACATCAGCCAATCCGCTGTGGCCCTGCACTCCTTAAAGCTGTCGCTGAGAGAGAGAGAGAGAGAGAGGCAGGAAAACAAAGATCAGTGGGATCAAGCCTTTTTTTTTTTTTTTTTTAATCGCCTGGATCAGAGGCTGCGTTTCAGCTCATCCCAAAGTTATTATCATGTTCTTTCTAACTTTTACTAACTAATATTTACACAAACGCACACAAGTAATCACACATTCTTTCCCGTTGTGTGCGTGTGTGTGGAGTTACGAGGTTTCACTGGTTCTATTGCAGTGCAGCACGCCAACTTTGCACTTTGCATACTGATAATTTTCAGCTTAACCACGAAGTTGCAAAGTGATGGCTGCGATTACTCGGCTAATAAAGGAGCAGTCATAAGAGCTGCAGCTGGAATAAGATGAATCCAGTTCCAGGCCCCACGTACAAAAGAGTGTTGTAGAAAATACGCTCGTATCACATGTCATTACCATTCATTAGTTTCACACACAGAAATCGTTCAACGTTATCTGGAGCAATCAGTTTCAATTACCACAGATTTTAAACAACTAAAAACACCGAAACTGCAGAAACAAAAACTTTTTGAAACTAAACTGAAGTGAGATTCTCACCCCGGTGCTGCCGGATGTTGGATTTTTGAGGCTGGTGCTGACGATATTTGATTCATTAGACGACATGTGGAGAGATTGTTCGGTATTTCTGTGCTGTTCTTATTCCTCCTCAGCGTCACGTGCACCATAACGTGTCAGTTAATCCGGTTTGTATTTTACAGTTTACGGTAAATAACTACAAATAAAATGAAAAACACAAATACAACCAAATATCTAGATCTTGAATTGAGAAAAAAAAAACATATTTGTTATGTAAAGTGTAAATATTCTGCTTTGTTATACAATCAAAATACAAGTTTTCATGTCATCAGATATCAGTAAATATAAACGCAGATACTCTAATTTAAATTTAATACATTTTATCCAGTCAAACAAGATATTTGAAGATATTCACAGTTTTTTTTCCCTGAAATTTTATAGACCCAAGTATTAGTTTATTAAAATTTGTATTAATTGTCAGATTACTTGGTGTTAAATCTAATCTATTTTTGAAAATACCTGATAGCGGCTAACCCAGTGAGTTCTACATGAAGTGAGCAGCCTTTTAAATCAGGTTCTCACAAGGACAAATACACACATCAGAGTTATTCCTTATCTGTTGTCTCCAATCACAACTGCAGATTTAACTTTTATGTTTGTTTCTATTGTTATTATTTATTTTCTGTCAGTTTCTGCAACTTCAATATCGCACATGTTCGATCCTGTTATATGATGTTAGCGTCACACACATTACTTTACTTTCCACGTTTACGTGTCTCGACTCGTTTGTGACTCAAGTGGGACTAATAGAAGATTATCTTATCCTCTGGGGACAGTTTAGTCTTTTCAGTCCCTTCTTAAGACAAACTCTCATCAGAACTTTCTTTGAGTTCTTTTCACCTGTTCCATTTTTAAATCTGTTGGTTTGACTCGAGTGGATTCTACTTTCACTGTCATCATCACATCCTGTCTTGTTTTCAGTGCAGAGGAACGTGAAGTGAACATCAGAGCAGAACTGAAGAAGCTGGAAGCATCCGGATCTGGTGGAAAACATTTTTCTGTCAAAGTCAAAGTAAGAAAATTAGTTGGAGTGAAACGAGTGACGTGGTGATGACGCGGGGTCTGCAGAGCTGTCTGGTGGGACAAGTGTCAGACTTTACTCAGAATGATCCTCCTTCCTGTGTGTGTGTGTGTGTGTGTGTGTGTGTGTGTGTGTGTGTGTGTGTGTGTGTGTGCGTGTGCGTGCACGTGGGTGGGGGGTGGGGGGGTGGAAAGGAGACGTGACGCCGGAGCGCATTTGGTGCCAACTGGGGTTTTTCCGTGTCGCCATCAGGGGTTTGGAGTTGCGCGCTCTTTTAAATTTTATTATTGCGTTAACGCGATAAATAAAAATTCTTCCTCTTGCGCGTGCCCCACACCGACACATACATATGTCGTGCGCAGCCTCTACGCGGGAGCGCGCTTCTTTCAATGAATAGTTTAATTGTGCGACGTGATGCGAAGGAAACGTTTCAGACAATTAAAGCATTCAAACACGGTTTTCAGAGTAAACGTGCGGTTTCCGGTTTGAAATGAGCCCGTGGACTCCGGTGAGGACTCCTCCGGGGAGGACTCCTCCGGTGAGGACTCCTCCGGTGAGGAGGACTCCTCCGGGGAGGAGGACTCCCAGACGCATCACAGCGAATGTTAGAAATAAGATTTCCTTCATGTGCACATCAGATTATTCTAGTGGGTCGGATTGTAACTCACGTGGAGGACATGATGGAGACGCGATGCAGATGGAGTTCCGCAGGTTGATCCGTGTTCTGTCACCCGGGTCCTGATGGAACCTGACGAACTGGTCCCCGGTTCACGTTCCCTACATCCCCCACCCTCGACGTTAACGGCGGCCACATCCTCCTCCGGTGCGTCACGGCGCAGCGCCGGCGCCCATTGGCTGATGCGCAGGAGTGGCTCGTGCGTTTCCGCGCGTCGGTGGTGCCAGTAACAAATGATGCGTTCGGGAACTAATTCTAAAATAAGATGCACGGATGAAATTTATGACTAAGTGATAATGAGGGAGTTTTTCCACAAACAGGAGATCTACAGCTTAAAGTATAGAATAAGGAGTATTACTTTGAAAACACTATTATTATTAACCAGTATCTACTTAGTGCCACTGCTCTGTTAGTTTTCTGTGTACTTCTTTTATCCTCTTTCTAGTGTTACTCCGATTAGGCGACACTTTATATTTATATTTTTAATTCACTGCAATA